ATTTGTTTTACACAATGTGCATGGATATGTGATGCTTGAGCACAAGAAATTTTATTTTAAAAAGCTATGTAAATATTTGGGCAAAAGAAAGAAAGAAAGACAGAAAGAAAAAGAATGAAAGAAAGGGGAAAAAAAAAAAAATTGAGATGATAGAATTTGAAAATTATGTAATAGTTTCCTTATAGTGAATAGTACTGAAGTTTCCTTCTGACTAGAGTTAGTAAACAAATAGGAGTACCAAATGTAGCAGTTATGTAAATCTATCTGAAACGACAATGTTTCAGTTACCTTGCAAAAAAGTGCCCTTTTTTTATCAGAAAATCGCAATTAATTTTTTCAGTAAAAAATGTATTTGGTGGCAATAATGCATGACTTAGCTACAGTTAGTAGATATGAACAAGACGATCATTTTGCAACAAGAATTATTAAAATTGCGTAATTACATACAAAGTTATTCTTACTATCATGCATGAAAATATGATTTTGAGAAAATAGCAGTTTTTGTCATTCATCTTCATTACACCACAAAGGTCATACCAATGATTACCAAATGTGAATATCTACTTAGATAATTCCTTGGCCTTTAATAGGAGTCCTATGGTAGAGTGTCAGGCCTTGTTCAGGTAATTTTAGGTCATCTTTATGTAAAGGTTACGTTAGGTTAGGTTGGAGTGTTCTCTGAAAAGTATACTTTCAGATGTCAAGGCTCCTGGTTCCCTGTCATTTACATATCATAGTACATCATAAGTCATATATTATGCATTTCTTATATATAAATGACATATTGCCAGGTTTTCAACAGGTTGAAAACAACACGTGTACTCCTGACAACTTTATCAATCGCACTGTTCTCCCCTCCTTGCTGCTGCTGGCCTGCTGCCTGCCTGCTGAACACAGCCTAAACTATTGTACAGCAGTATCATACCAAAGAAATTTGCAAAAACAGCCCAAAAAAAGCTGAAAAAAAAAAAAAAAAAAAAAAAAAAAAAAAAAAAAAAAAAGGCATGAAGCAAAAAGGGGTGTGGCAGCAAGAGGGCATTTAAATACTCCAGACATTCAAACCGCGGAAAGGAGCGAGTTATGAATCTGGCAACTGGCGCCCGGGGTGCGTCACATGCTCATGTATCCACACACAAAGTTTGAAAAATCATAATTCCTGACCCGCACCGACGACTCTTCACCTTAACAGTAACCTCAATCTAGGTGAAAAAAATATGCTTTGATATTTGTCATCATAAAAATCTACATATGCAACTTCATATGAAACTTCTTTTCTCTACCCAGGTTATGCACACACAAGCAGAATACAACAGAGCTAAAAAGGGTCCAAAGTAGAAACAAAAATCTTCTGGATATGAAAACATAACATACCAAGGAGGACTGGATGAACTGGTCAAGCAGCATGGAAAAGGTCAAAAGACCTAAATGAAATATAGTCCACAATTTCCCATTAAAACCATGATTATAAACCTTTCACATAATGGTTAAAACAGAATGGTTAGATTAAACAGTTTTCCTCCCAATCCCAGAGAAAAAAATGGAATACAAATAAAGGTGGAGCATAAACTGTTTCCATGTGAAAACATAACACTAGGGTCCCCAAAGTGTCATTGAAGTAATCTATCAAAGTATCATTGAAGTAATCTATCAAAGTCAGATAGATGAACTTCCCTAGGACTGGAGGAAAACATAAATGTACTCATCATAATTCTATACAAAAATAATTTGTTTAACTAGAAAATGGTAGTAGTCAAAAGCATGGAATATCACACCAAAGTATAGAAATCACAATTAAGGGCAAATATACACACCTTGGTATGATCATAATGTAATGCAATAAATGTAATGAGAAAAAGAAATGATGATACTAAAGAATATACTCATCACTCTGCATGACATATTACATAAATGTTTAGACGTTAAGAGCTATATTTTATGCATCACAAATTTCAGCATGTTACTATATCTGAGAGTTCTACATTAACCATCTGAGTAAGATGATGTTTTTACAATGTCAATGCAGTTATCTAGTATTTCCTGTTGCCCAAAGCTGGCAGACACTAAACTGACCCTAGATAACTTCCCTCCTTAAGCTATAGTTCTGCCTTGGAGGCTTTATTGCTCTACGGAGATTTCAGCTTATAACGAAGCTTTATTCTTCCATTGGATTATTGCCAGCAACTTTCACTCAGTTCTTTAGGAATTCTGAGGTTACATATTTTGTCTCTTTCAATTTGTAGCATGTAGCAAAACTAGAAACATAACTTCCAAATTTGTATTGAGAAAAGTTGCACAGTTGGGCAAAAAATTACCAAAGTACCTATACATTCAAACCTCTACCTCTTTTGAATCATATATATATATTTTTTTTAATTTAATGATTATGCTGATTAAAACAGACTGCAACTTGTTTTCTGAGTCATGAGAGGCCATGACCAGTACATGTTAGGTTTTCTGACAAAGTGTTTCATATATTTGCCCATCAATAAGCTCCAATGAAAAATTCAGCTCCCATTTTCTAAGCGCCTATATTCTTTGCAGGGTTCGTATCAATGGGCTATGTTCATTTTGGATGATTGCGATTATGATTTAATATTTCTAGGTCATCTCTGCTCCCATCTGTGTTGGTGGATAAGAGGAAAGCTTCTAGCAGCAGTATCCTTCTGGACCTCCCCTGAAATTGTCATTAACTACACCAAATGCACTAGATTGTGGGTTGAAGAGGCACTAAGGGCAAGACCTGAGGATGAAGTATATGAGTTACCACAAAAATATTTAAAAACTTCTAGTGATCTTACTTTTTCCTCTTTCAGGAACCATACTTGTTATACAAAAGAGAACTTACCTCTGCCGTCTCATTCTAATAAAGTAATGATCTTTGAGGTATTTAAATTGATTTTCAGAGTGAAGCAAGAAAAGAACTATGGCATCAATTTAATGGATTTATTCTCTTAGCACTAACAACCAAAACATCCCTATCATGGTTGTCCAAAAAAGGACTGGATTTCACTGTGTAAGACCATTATCCGTCCCTCCTTCATCTTAAGTTTTACTTGGACTCTTTGCTAGAAGAACCCTCACTTTGGTGATAAAGTTTGATGATTCTAACTCATCAGATTGGGTAGTTTGGTACCTGGTATGCTTTTCCTTTCTATCGTTGTTCTAGACTTTTTTCCACTGATTGGAAAATACCATTTAATTTATTTTACTAAACACTACAGCATGTCTTACAATCACCCCATACCTTACCTTGCTTGTTTACTCTGCACAACTGCAGGTAACTGCTTGGGGTCACCAACTAAAACAAAACGCTTAGCATGAAATAGTGGTCCGAGGGCAGCAACTTGCAGCACCTGAAAAAAGATAGAGAGGAAAATGTATGCTGACACTAGGAAAGCAATAGCATTATTATTAGGAAAACTTATTACACTGTAAATATCCAGGTAAGGTGATAATGTGGGAAAGTTTTATGTGGTATTTGCCAATTTGTTTAGGAATAAATTTTAAAAATTACTGTTTTTTTATGTGTGGAGCACATGGGCACATTGTAACTACTTCGCTGTAAACCATAAAAATAACCATCTTTAATATCCAAATATCATATTTCTTGTACAAAGTAATCATTACCAAACCCTCTTCAGGATTGTGCAGTGCTCACCTGACATGCTTCATCAATTACGCAGAAATCAAAGGTCCTCTTGGTGAAAATCACATGATTGAGTCCTAGACAGGTAGTAGCAATTACCTTCTGCAATTTAAAATCATTCATGTGTAAACTAAAGAGGGAAAAAATTGGAATGAAGGGTATTACATGTTTTTGAAGACTAAAAATAATGATGGTCGATTACTGATAACTTCTTGTATACTGTGTGTAGAAAAGATATGAATGAGTATGAATATCTTTGTAATAAAAAAGTTGTATTTGACACAGTTTTGATGATATCTTTGTCAGAAATACATGTATTTCTGACAAAGATATATTCGCAACAGGTCAAACACATCTCTTGTATTGTGAAGATATTCATTCTTATTCATAAATTTTCTACATTTATCAACATGAATACAATTCATTCTCCTATACTGTATGTGATTAGAGAAGTTAATATACAACTAAATAAATCTTTGGCTGAACATGTGTCAAGTCCAACATTACTAAACATTACACAATATATTATCTAATTTCTACCCCTTTCCACGTAATCAATATCCAAATAGATTAATAGTTGCAGATGAGCAAGAAGGCAGGAAAAGGAGTTGGAAGGATATGGAAGAAATGTGTTCATGCAAGAATAAATCAGAATGTCGTAATTCTACCTTCTGAAGTGACGCATTTAACTACTATACTTCAGTTGGAGTGAATACATAATTACCTTTTTGAAATTCTTTTATACATGTAAGGAAGATCTGAATATTCTTCAGAACTAAAAACCTACATGTTTATGTAAAATTCTAAATGATATATTTTCTACCAATTCTGAAAGTTCCATGAACAGAGTTTCACCAAAAAATAACATAATTTAATTATACTGATTCTAAAACATAAATAATATCCCCAGCATATCCTTAATAGCAAAAAATAAACACTGTTTTAGTCAAAAATTGTTTCTTACCTTTGAAAAGTAAAACTGGGAGAGTGAGGCAACATCTTTGAATTTTCTAGCCAATGTTTCATCTGCATGTGTCAGTATGTCAGAATGAATACGTGCAATTCTCCCAAGACGGAGAAAATCTACTTCTAAATCCTGGAATAGAAAAAAACATAGTTTACTTAACTCCAATCAAGTATTAAAAATAATAATAATAAAAATTTACAGAAAAAAAAATATATATATAAAAATATAATAATAATAAAAAAATAATAATAAATACATAAAAGATATAAATAATTACATTAAGCATACAAAGGCTGTTTAAAATGGTAAAAAACTAACTTTCAGTTTCAGAAGAATGTTATCAACAGCTGAATGCGTATAACTGGTGAGAAGGATAGAGTAACCTAAAGTCACCATAAGCTGGACCAGTCGAACAATTGTAGAGGTCTTGCCTGCGAAAGGTAATCAACAAACAAATACAAAATCCATTGCCACAGCTATTTTCTCATTGTCTGCCAACGTCCTATATGTAACAAGTATAATCTAATCAACACAAAGCATACCCGTTCCTGGGAAGCCCTTGAGCAGACTGTAGTCTTCCGCCATGAGGGTCTTCAACACTGCTCGCTGTTGGGTCTTGTTCAGCATCTGAAGGATCTTCTTGCCTTTCTTCACCACATCTTCACCCAACCCTTTCTTGAATGTTGGCAGTTTTCTGAAAACATATCAAGTGGAGGAATTAGGAAGATTATACTTTTTAAAACTCCATTCTCATTTCTCTTTATCTGCAAGCAGTCACAGTAAAACAAAGAGTTATTTACCTATCCACAATCAATTCTCTGAGGATTGCTGCTTGAGGAGTGTCAGACAATAATCTGGCCAAGTTGGTAAAGTTGATGCTCATGGTATTTTGGTATTCACATCTGTCCACACAGAATAACTTCTCCCTCCATGTAGGGTAAGCTGTCAGATCCCTGCAATAAAAAAGGTGGTACTAGGAAGTGATTCTGACTTATTTGTTTTCATCCCCATGTTCACCTTTATCTCCGTCTATTGCTGCATCAAATTCCATTCCTGACTTAATTTTGGTTTATACTTTATTTTTTTGGTCCTGTTTTTGTCTCTATCTTCACTGTCTTAGACTAAATCTGTGTTTCTTTTTACCTATAACCCTCTACCATATTTTCTCATCTTATTTCATATTCACATGAACCAGACTCACCTATCTAACACAACTTGCACCGACTGTTCATGTACAACCTTTATAACTCCCAGACTGAGAGCAATTTCAGTTTCCGATGACACAACTATATTATCACTAGCCTGGAATGAGAAGCATGTTGAATTACTTTAATGTGATGGGAGAACAATACATGTGAAAACAAAGACCTGTAATACTTCTCTCAGAAGGAAAATAGAAGCCATCATGAAAAAAAAGGAATTATAGTTACATATATGCAATATTAATAAAGTATTTTAGCACAAAAAGGAATCCAATTTCATATCTCTACTGATTCTTAAAACTGATTTTGTGAAAAAACACAAAATTCTGTGCAGTTACAAACTATAGGGAGGAAGAAGGGAAGGTGGGAGGAAAGGGAAGGTGGGAGGAAAGGGAGGAAGGGAGGGAAGGAGGGAGGTAAAGAGGGAAAGAAGAAAGGGAAGGAGGGAGGATAGGAACAAAGGTGGGAGGAAAGGAAGGAAAGAGTTAAGGAAAGAGACAGGAAAGGAAAGAGGGATGGAGAGAGAGGGACAGAGGGAGGGTGACAGTAGAAGAAAGAAAGGAGGGAAGAAGGGGGGAAGAAGAGGAAGTGAGAGAGAGAAAAAAAAGGTAGATGGAAAAACATCTATTCTTTCTTAACATGGTTTCTCTACCTGCAATCCAACAGCTGATAAGCTTGGCATAGTAGAATACTTAGGAGAACGGACAAAGGAATGGAGAAAAATTCCAGGCTCTGGTTCGTTCACTGGAACACCACGCTCTAATATTAACATTGATAGACAGTCTCCACCATCCTCTCTATAGGGAAAGAGAAAAGTTTAGATAAGAAATATCTTTTAAACATGGCCTTTAAGTAGAGAAGAAAACAAATTCAGTAATAAAACTGCTTATAATATCAATAAAAATAATAGTGAGCCCATTTCTCATTGACCACTTTATGGAGAATAATCATATGTTTCATAAAGAGAAAAGATTACATATCTAATTCAAATGGATAGTCTTTTCAATAAATCATCAACTATCAAACATAACATATAACAAAATAATAAATCATCATTAAGTAAATTGTCTAAACACAAGTTACCTCCTTTTGGGGTCCTGGCACCAGAGTGCTCTGATAGCTGAGTCTCGTTTCCCTTCAGCAATTTCTAGGTGTAAGAGTAAACACCAATGCCTGAAGTAATCTAAATGAGCCTGAAGAGGAATAAGTATGGCATTATGTAATCAAATGGTATAAAGGGATGTGATTCAAAATCTTAAGATTTGGACCATATTAACCACAGCTTACTTAGCATACCTTGTGTACTTCAGCTGACCCAACTTTGGCCATATGAACCACAGCTTACCTAACTTTGTTCTTATACACTACAACCAACCAGCCTTACCTTACCAGGTTAGAACTTTTTTGCTTGTTTATAATCCATCAACCTTATTCACAAAACTTTCAACGAGATGAGACAATCCCAATGACCTATGTTCCAAATCCATTGTCTTTCTTCAGAAGAATTAGGAACCATTTATCAGAAATCCATAACAATATACTTGTATGGCATTATTACATCAATCCTGTGTCAAGATGCACAACACTTACGAAAGAGAGGTCCTGCCGACAGTGATGGAAGAAATGCCAGTACCACCACATGAAAGATGCAAAAGGATCTTCGGCCAAAGAAATGGACATGTGATGAGTGCCAGCAACCAATGAACTGGCCTACAGTATCCCTAGCAAGAGATGGATATGTTTCGAAATATCAGATCAAAGGCTGCAATAAACTGAAGGTGGTGGTGTTAGTCAGGACTGGTATTTTCTTTGGAAATTTAGCAAAGAAATCACAAACTTGGCTCAGTTTTCTATTCTTTTCGCAAACAATATTTGGGATAACTGCTTTACCTGCAATGGTGGATGTATAGTGCATATGATAATCAAATGCTATTCCCATCTCTTTAGTGAGTTTCACATATGTTGAAGCAAATCCTATCATCCTTAGTAACTGAGGACAAGTCACATTATGTGACATTATGTTCCTCATAGAGGCCTAGCTCCACACAAGTCAGTGTGGGTAATTGACCTAGTTGACATCATTGTGGAACCTGCTGTTGGCAACATGGAAGTTGTTGAGACCAGGAAAGCTGAAGTAATACTTCTAATCCTGGAATGAGTGGTGTGCCAAGGAACTACCTTTCATATCATGACCTTCACAACAGTGTGAACCACAACATCAACTTCATCAATCTAATTACTGATGTGCATACACAGAAAATCAAATTTCATTGGAACAAGGTAAAAAGCACCATCAAAATAGTGAGGCTGCTGAAGGAATCACATGGTATTGTGTCAACAAGAGTTCATGCTGTGAGATTCCTTTGTTGATAATGCCTTCAAAAACATCTGCCTCCACATTCAGCATGTGGAAAAGCAGTGTGAACATGGACTCTGTTTGTAAGTAAAAATGTCTATGTATGGTATGTAACACTTATTCCATTACAATTTTTTTATAAATCATCAGAATATAGAATTCGAACACAAAGGTGTCATAGTTGAATAGTTGATCCAAATCACTGAAAAACAGCTTACTTAAAGGGGGCTTGGTCATTTATATTTCAGATAATCCAAATATTCTTTTGAAAAATATTTTCAAACAACCACCTTCACATATAACAATAGACTAACTTCAAAACTGACTCATTCCTATCCTGTTATAGAGCCTTCAAGTTCTAATACATACCTGAGAGAGATGAGACGTAGTCTTTGGTACAAGGACACTCATGGAATGAGGAGGCTCTGGGACAATTTCTTCAATACTCTTCTGGTAAACTGAACATGTTAGCAAATGGGCACATTTAGTACATGCTCTCTCTGAGTCTATTGGCTCTGGTAGGGAAGGTAGCTTGAGTTCCTGAAAGGAAATGTATATATATATATTTATATATATATATTATATATATATAATATATATATATATATATATATATATATATATATATATATATAATATATATATATATTTATATATATATATATATATATATATATATATATATATATATATATATATATATATATATTGTATATTACAAAAATGTTTTTGAAATTACCATATCTATCAAATTTTTGATAAAACAAAAAGAACAATTCTAGCACTGTAGAGATATTTGTGAACTTGAATATTTTGTTTGTGAAAAATATAGAAATCTTTCATAGCAATGCTTCCATATAAACTAAATACATTCAAGTTTATAAAGCTATGTCTTTTGAAAACTTGCAATGAAAAGAAGTAAGCCCTGACAGTGATGCATACACAAATATGTAAACTTATAAATAAAAAATAAAGAATATCAGTTTACACTTACTCCGTCTTCCTGCTTCATAGGTTTGGCTGTGAGGTAATAAATCATCTCATTACGGAGCTGAATGAGACCTCGCTTTTCTCTCTCCCCAGCTGGCACTTCCTCCATTGCTCCATCTCTGCAAGGACAGTTAAAAATACTTTTATAACAAAAGAACCTTAATTTTTCTTACTTTTTTCCAGTAATAAAACCAAATTTAATATGGGAATGAAGAATAGAACTCATGTTGTGCCTTGATTCCAAAGACTACCTTTTATCGTATATAGTATTTTTATTAATAATTTTCAAAAATTCAAAGATAGTAGATTTCAGGTATCCTTTGATATGTTGATACCATTCTACTTTGCATATCATTTCTACATAGTGATATCCCTCAAGTGAAAACAAAATATATGATACAGTGATAAAATTTATAAAAATAATAGTTCACTGCTATTAAAATCCAAGTTTCCTCCTTAAACTCTAAAAAACAAATGTTTTTGTGGATGTTGTACAAAAAGGTGTGCAACTAACATTCTGTGTTACAGATAATTCCATTACTTAATACTGATTTATGAATACAGAAGACTTCTGTACTCAAGATACCCAAATTATGATCATAAGTGAATGGATTAATAAAAATCCTAATTACAGACAATGCCAATCTATCTTCAAGCAAATGCATTAATGGACTCCAACGATACCTGAGATAGAGAAGCAGTCCAGCTCTTGGGTCGTGCCTCCTGTCTGCACTCATCATGCTGTAGAGTGTTACCTGCCCTTTGTGCTCCGCGGAGAAGCTTGATCGACCAGTTTTTAACTCAAGTGGGACAACCTGTTCAAAAGGACAATTTTACAACATGACATGCATCATTTGCTTTACAGAAAACTAAATGTTTTGGTAACTGCTGGAGATAAATATTCATAAAATCTGTGTCATGAACTACTGCTCAGTAAATACCAATCTAGTGGTTCTCTATTGCATTAAATTTTCTAATAATCTATGCGTAACCTTTTATGGATTTTTATTTCAACAAATAAAGTCTGCCTGACCCCTGATGTTTTAACATTTCTGTAGCATCACTATACACAATACAATTTTCTTTGAATTACTATCAGGCTCCCCACCTTTGTAATTCCTCTTTGATTAGTCTTGACCGTCATGTCAATTTTGCCTTTCACACCAAACTTTGGAGACCAAACATTTTCTTCAATATCTTGAATCTCTGTTATCTGGCCAGCCCACTGCCTTTTTGATTGACCTTTTAATTCAACCTTGTCTGAAAGTAAGGGGGGGGGGGGCGGGGAGAAAAAATAATTCTTACTACTTCAAGTTATCCTACTTTAGTCTATTCATTTGCTGCTGTTTTCCTATGTAAAAATTAAAGATTTATCTTAAAAAACAGAAGACTACATCTAGTATGATTTAGGCATTCAAGGACCTATGTTTATCAATGTCACACACACGCACACACAGACACACGCTGCTATCTTCTTATGTCAAACAGATATATTTTCAAAATAGAAGCTACTTTGAAAAATGATTTATGCATTCAAAGGACCTACTATTCTGAATGTCTCATGCGCATACACATACATACACACACATGCATGCACGCACGCACGCACGCACCCACGCATGCATCTGCGCACGCACGCATGCATCCGCGCACGCACCATGCATCCGCGCACGCACGCATGCATCCACGCACACGCGCACTAACACACATACACGGAGGACTTCTGTGGTACTGACCTTGTAATTTTCCGTTGCCAGGTATCTCTGAGACCAAGTGTTAATGTGAGGGATGAAGTTATTCATTTCCTCATATATGTGCGCCTCCGATACTCCGAGTCCATACATTTCCTGCAGCATCTTTGGCTGTGACATTAGTTCTCTTACTAGATGCTCCAACTGCTCCCGAGACTTGATCTTCTTCTTCACCACCTACAGTGATATCAATTGCCTTTTTGAAAGTAATGTTTCACTTTTCAGTATGACAAAATTACTCATCAAAAGAAAGTACGAAAGAAAGAAGAAAGAGAATTTATGTTTATATGAAGAATGAATACACCAAAACAGAAACAATCAAAAAATATAAGAAAGGCTATACTGTTCTTACCTCTTGAAAGAGCTCATGAACAAGAGAACCAATAAGCATCAGCTGGTTACCCGGATCTAGACCTCTGAAACGTTCATTCAAAACTGCTTTTCGGCGACAGAAGACACCAGACACAACAGAAGTTCCAGAGATAAGGAAGTCTGGGTTGATCACAATGAGACCCTGATGATAAACAAATTCAAAGACTGATAATATACATTTTTAAAATTAATAATAATTCTTATCAAACATCAATGTATTCAACAATACAATCCATATAATATATATATATATATATATATATATATATATATATATATATATATATATTTATATATATAAATATATAATATACAGTGAACCCTCCTTTTTTCGCGGGGGTTATGTTCCAAAAAGAACCCGTGATAGGTGAATCCGTGAAGAAGTGACCTTTATTTTTTTTACAATTATTATACAATGAAATACTCTAGAATACATTGAAACCAAGGAACAAAACCTTTTTACAGGCCCAAGCATTTGCTTAACAAATAAAAGTACTGTATAAACATTTTTTACAAATAACTACTGTACTGTAAAATAATAATTTTAATCATCAATACGAACTGAAGGCTTTATGGGTTTAAGAGAAAATTTTCAAACTTAAATTTGGCAAGCTGTTTTACGTACATGTACATATTAAACCGTAACATTATTGACACACAGGTAGAGAAGAAGTGGAGAGACTGTTTAGCCAATCAGAATGCAGAACACAATGCACAATGCAAATCCGTGAAGCAGCGAGAACGTGAAAGGTGAACCGCGTTATAGCGAGGGTTCACTGTGCACACACACACACACACTCATATATATATGTGTGTATGTGTGTGTGTGTGTGTGTGTGTGGTGTGTGTGTGTGTGTGTGTGTGTATGTGTGTGTGTTGTGTGTGTGTGTGTGTGTGTGTGTGTGGTTGTGGTGTGTGTGTGTGTTGTGGTGTGTGTGTGTTGGTGTGTGGTGTGTGTGTGTGTGTGTGTTTGTGTGTGATGTGTGTGTGGTGTGTGTGTGTGTATGTGTGTGTGGTGTGTTGTTGTGTGTGTGTGTGTGGGTGGTGTGTGTGTGTGTGTGTGTGTGGTGTGTTGTGTGTGTGTGTGTGTGTGTATGTGTTGTGTATGTGGTGTGTGTTGTGTATGTGGTGTTGGTATGTCTGTGGTATGTGTGTGTGTGTGTGTGTGTGTGTGTGTATGTGTGTGTGTGATAGGTGTGTTGTGTATGTTGGTGTGTGTGTGTGTGTGTGTGTGTGTGTTGTGTGTGTGTGTGTGTGTGTGTGTGTGTGTGTGGTGTGTGTTGTGTGTGTGTATATGTATATGTATATGTATTTGTATATGTATATGTATATGTATATGTATATGTATATATGTATAGTATATGTAATGTTATGTATATGTGTATATGTAATGTATATGTGTGTATGTATATGTGTATATGTATATGTGTATATGTATGTGTGTATGTATATGTGTGTATGTATATGTGTGTATGTATATGTGTGTATGTATGTGTGTGTATGTATGTGTGTGTATGTATGTATGTTTATGTATGTGTGTGTATGTATGCGTGTGTATGTATGTGTGTATGTATATGTATGTGTGTATGTATATGTATGTGTATGTGTATGTGTATGTATGTATATATATGTATATGTGTATATATATATATATAAGTAATATATATACATATATATATATATATATATATATATATATATATATATATATATATTAACACACTATAAAATCAGATATCCTGATTCCACAATAAAAAAAATTACCTGAGTATTGTTTACTGTGAAGTGTCCATCCTCTGAAGCCTCTGTATATAAAATGTGAACAATGTCTCCTTCTGAAACCATACTCTGTGACCTGTAAACAAAATGCAGATGTACTTCAGTTGCAATATGCTTTTCTATTAAGATGCAGTACTATTTGGTTTCATACCATGGTACTATTGCTAGAACATTTTATTACAAATCCCCTTTCAGTGAACACAAATCATTCTAATGCACTACAGTAATATGGGGTGAATTTTAAGTGATCTTTCCTCTAAGATGTGCATCTCTCAATGATAATTTATTTAGAGATAAATAATTACACAAACTTTAACTTAGTTTTACAAAATAAACACTAAAAAGAATTGCTATAACAAATTTAAAAAATTCTCACCAGAATCCACCAAGAGTGCAGGTCTTGTTGCTCTTATCCTGTACTGATATAAGCCTTAGTAATACCTCCCCTTTATAAGTGTTGCGCTCAACAGCACTCACAACATGGCGACCAAAGCCCCCTTTCATTGAAAATGACTCCTCACCCAAACCCTCAAACAACAGCTTCTTTATTGCTCTGGAAAGAAGTGGTCAGACATGTCAACAGCATAATCAAACAATTATATATCCAGTAAAAATAAATTACTTCTTAAATGGTTGTGTTTTTAGACAAGCCAAACTCATTAAAACAATAAAAATAAGTGCATCTAAATTCATGAAAAAACAACAATGGCTAAAAGTTATTTCAATTCACTGGTGATTATATATTCTACCTTTCATCTGATATTCCAGAAACCTACTTATTTTCAACTGGTGGCACTTGTTGAACCTCCTGCTTGAAAGGTGACATCTTCTCAAAATCTACAGCTAAATCATCATCAAATAAGTGGTCCATAGAATCCTCTTGTGTTTCAGGTATCACTGATGGCTCTTGTTTTTTGGGTTCTACATCATCAAATGCAATGTCAGCCATAAAACCTTGAGAAGCTTCAAGGACCTCTGATATGTCTTTATGGTCAAGAACATCTGAATCACTGGCAGCTTTAATGCTATTTGTTTTCTCACTTTTTACTGGTGATTTACAACTGTCTTCCTTTATGAAAGAATTTAAGTCACCATTATTCATTTTACTTCTTAAAACATCATCACCATTTGAAGACTCTCCTTTATTCAAGATATTCTCTTTATTTTCTTTCTTGCAATCTGGCAATAGAATACTGACACTTCCATCACTCTCTGCATCACTTGTATAGGAGTTTTGGTCTTCAAACTTGGAAAGAAGATTGGACTTGCAATCTTCTTTTTCTTCTGGAATGACAATATCAGGTACATTCGTTCTCTTGGGATCCGGTGATATGCCCATACCAGTTGCTGCTGGTCTCTTCAGTTTACCAGCGATTTGGTCTGATAAGAAATGACTGTCCTTTAGGATTTGTTGTTCACTTTTGTTTACAGAATTACTCTTCATTTCATGAATCTTTCTTGATAATCTACTCAACTTCGACTTGTTCTTCATAGCTAAACTGGTTGGCCGCATTACATTTGAGACTGACAATGTGGAAGACTTTGTGGCTGTGTGTGAAGAGCTGCTCACTATGGATGATAACTTTCCTGATAGCCCAGAACAAAAAGATTTTGTATCAGACAACTTCGTAATGTTTAGCTGGGGAGTTGATGGAATGAAATCTGGACTTGCGCTTATTTTTGAAGACTTAAGGAGACCTGCACTACTTTTCTTTATCTCTGGGGTAGACTCTATCACTTCAGGGTCCGAATCACTCCACACCTCACTTGAATCAGAAATTTCCTCCGCCAGATCTGTTTTCTTTCCCTTGCCAAAGCCTGACGAACAAGCACCATTCCCGAAAGCTGATTTCTTCTGGAGAACTGTTGTTGCCCCATTGCTTTTAGTGGTGAGTAACTTGTCCTTTTCTTTATTGCTACCAATACCACTCAGTTTACTTCTGGCGCCTGCACTTGAGGAGCCATGCTGCACTGTCGTAAAGAGACTCGGGGCAGAAAAGAAGGAGGAGATTTTCTTCTGATTCTTATCTGGCTATAAGGAAGAGAAAAAATATTGGTAACCTTTTGACTGAAGCTGAGTCTAAGAAACTTACTACTGTAAAATAATCTGTGCCTATAATTAGATGATATTTAATTCTCTGTTAAGTCTTATGAAGGAGACATAGAATGATAGTGTAAGAGCAAAGGGAAAAGAGAGAGAAGGGAGAAGGGGGAGAAGAGAGGAATGGAGAAAGAGACATTATAGTGGGGATAAAGTTTTCTTGGTCTTTGCTGGAATACAATAATATGGAGGCCAAAGTGATGACCAATGTTTCAAGAACTGTTCAATGTTCAAAGGACACACAAGTCTGCTACTTTCCTTGCATAAACGTGCTCACTCTTCACCTAGCGACATCCTTACAATGGCTGACAAACCCACTTTATCAATAATAGAGCAAGATCTAGCTTGCAAATGGCTCTTTCAACTTATCATTTAAAAAGGAGCTAATCCATGCTCCATTTTACCAAATTATTGGTTACAGAGGTTTGTTTTAAAACAATTACCAAAATTTGTTTTCATTAATCCCCTTTCAACATTTCCTTTCAAAAATCCTATGTAAGACCTGGCGCTACAAGAGAGGCATATATTCTTTTTCAACCAGGGAGAGAACAATTTAACATTAATTTACTGTAAAATGAAAAAAATATATCTTTGCTTTTATTCGCTTACATATCACATTCCGTTTTTTTTTTTTCAAATTGTTAAGGAAACACTACTGAATAAAAATGTCTTCCAGTTAGCCGTTCTATCTAATACTTGTGAAAAATAACGCTGAGTGAAAAAGAAAGCAAAGCCCATTTCCATTTCCCATTTCCGCTGCAACGAGTTGAGACCTGACTGTCACAACCCACCATCACACACCGACAATATTCCTTAATGTATTAATTCAAGAACACCTTTGTTTAACCACAACCACAACCACACACCATTCAACTACAAAACGGTATATCCACATATTAAGAACGACTGTCTGCAGGCTCTTCGTTACTTACAGATATTTTTGCCTTCAACTTCCCCATCGCTCAGCTGTTTGGTTTTCTCGCGCCAACTGCAATGAGGAACTGGAGAAGGAAAGGAAATTCACATCAATGAATAAGTCATACGGACACGATACTAACATACTTTTATACGATAATTCTATTAAACATATATCTAAAGTATCTATGATTTACTTCCTGACGATATTGGAAAAATGAGTAAAACTTCATCGGTTTCCCTCCATATACAAATCCTATATAAATCATTCCTATTGGTCGAAAGCAAGTAGAGTTGACCAATCATCATCGCGTTATACCTTAGAGTAGATTGTAAACAAGAGATGTAAGAAGAGTTATCGTAATATTGTTATTGTTATTATTCATTATTGTTTTCTGTATTGTTACTATTCATTATTGTTTTCTGTATTGTTATCATTATCATCATTATTTTTAACATCAATGAAATAATGTTAATAGTAATGACAATAATAATAATCGTAATAATAATGATAATAATATTATTATTATTATTATCATCATCATCATCATCATCATCATC